AAAATCTGTTTTTTAAAAAAAATTATGAATTAGTAACTTTAATGTAAAATCTTAAGCTTAATCACACTTTCGATAGAGAAGGAAATCTTTTAATGATTATATAATATTTGTTTATATAAGAGAGATCTGACTGTCGATACGATCATATATAATATAGATTTTGGAGCTAGGGATAATTGTGCACTCAATAGTGATAGGATTATCCATGGGTGCATCTAATAATCCATGTACAATTAGGCCATTAGTAGTTGCTATATGTTTCCATCAACTTTTTGAAGGAATGGGTCTAGGAGGTTGCATACTCCAGGTATATATTTTTGATCGATCGCGTATATACAACAATAACAATAATAACTGTGTCTCAGTTCTGTTCTAATTTTTTTATTTTTCGCATTTAGGCGGACTATGGTATGAGGATGAAATCAATGTTGGTGTTGTTTTTCTCAATAACAACACCATTTGGTATAGCACTTGGAATTGGATTATCAAATGTGTATAGTGAAAATAGTCCAACATCACTTATAGTTGTGGGATTGTTGAATGCATGTTCAGCTGGTTTATTGAATTATATGGCACTTGTGGATCTTCTTGCTTTTGATTTTATGGGTACCAAATTGCAAAATAATATTAAGCTTCAATCATGGGCTTATCTTGCTGTTTTATTAGGTGCTGGTGGAATGTCTATTATGGCTATATGGGCCTAAATTGAATTTATTTTCAAACCCCTTGATACGATATCAGTGGTGTGTGTAATGCATCTGACTACACGATATGTCCATATGGGCATGAAATTATTCGTTTTTTGATTTCATTCTAGTTTTGTTTGCATTGTCAATGTGTAGTTATTAGTAGTGGAAATAATGCGTAATTTCGTATCACTAAATTAAATATCTAAATTCATTTTCTTTGTTGAATCTGAATTGATTTCTCAGATGGTTACTTTTGTTGTTAAAGAAAATTTAGATTAGGGTAGCTTTATGAGATTATAATAACTATCAGTTGTGTTCATCGCAAAATAAAAAATAAAATAAAAAGACAGTTTGATTAACTTTCTCAATTAGTGTTAAAATATCACTACTATCATGACACATAAAAAGAAAAAATTGACAATAATTAATTTAAAACTCTAATTGTGCATATCATTAAAGTTTAAAAGTCCTCCACGTCTTTATTAATAAGTAGCAAATTAAAGTGTCAAAATTGAATAAATGAGGGTAGAGCTTTCAATATGGGCAGAGCTGTCAATATGGGATGGCCCATCCATTCGGACTAATCCATACATGCTTTGAAATTTGACGGGTTAGACTGGGCTAGCCCATTTTTTGTGTGGGCCAAAAAATGGTCGGCCCAGCCCACAAGTACGTGGGCTACAGGTTTTGCCAGACCAGCCCTCTTTTCTTAAAAGTATATTTTTTTATAATTTTTTAAATTAAATTATAATTAAAAAATATTATCATAAATATCGACAAGACAATATTACATGGTGTTAGTGTTACTACTTATTAATCAAATACACAAAAAAAACTATCTTTATAATATTTATTAAGTTTGATTTCAAGTAAAAAACATAAATAGCTAAATAGAAATATTAACCTAAATGTTTTCCAATGATCACAATAAAATACAAAAACTATGACAATATTCCATAGGCTATGGCCTACGTAGTGATTCCCTAGAAATTTTAGAGAATTTTTATTTTATGTAGTACATATTTTATAAACATAATTTGTATTTAAATTGTAATATTTCAAACTTTAAA